TCCCTGTAACTCTAAAAGTTCAAATTGTAGAGGAAGGGCTCCAAACTGAGGTGCCTTGACCTCCCTTGTATAAGAAGGAACAAAAATGTGTGAGAATGTCACAAGGCAAAAAGTACTCAGCATTAAAAATGTGTAAAATTAAAAAAAATTTTTTTCTTTGTTTTGTGTTTCTGTGTGTGTGTATGTGTGTGAGAGAGACAGAGAGACAGAGACAGAGAGAGCACGCTCATGCTCAGGGGGAAGGGCAGAGAAAGAGGGAGAGAGGGAGAGAGAGAATCCCAAGCAGACTCCATGCTGTTAATGCAGAGCTGAATACATAAGATCATGACCTGAGCCAAAATCAAGAGTCAGACAGATGCTTAACCAACTGAGCCACCCAGATGCCCCTGAAAAAAATTTATTGTTTAAAAAAAAAAAACAGTCTACCTACAAACATTGAGATAATCAAGGATTTGACAGAGCTGTTAATGATTTTAGGCAGAGAACAGAGAATTTAATAGTTCATCTCTTCTTCTCTTTCCCTTATCTGAGCCTTGAGTTTTAAGAAATAATTTAAATAAACTTTGAAATGTTCTTGTAGACATTACTAAACTCTGTCCATATCAATGAATTCCGATGACATCATTGTTTCCATGGTAACTAATGTACTTCAGAAGGGGAAAAAACAGAAAGCAAGACTAAAAATCAGGCAAAAATGAAATAAAGGAATATAAACAAAGCATAACATTTCTCCTTTGCATTTATGGAACACTTTCTTATTTCAGATGCTTTACGATTACTTAGACTCCAAGGCTCTTAAATGCCAGCAGTATCTCAGCGGTCATCAAATCTACCTCCCACTCATAACCAGGGTTCTGTTTATAATATAGCTGCACCATGGTTGTCCAAGTGTTTACAGAGCTCATTGCTGGGAAGTTCTCACTCATTCACTTACAAAGATTACTGAGCACCTATCTTGTTCTGATGTGATTAAGATATTCTACCTCCTTTAAAAATTTTTCTTGTTTAGGAGCACCTGGGTGGCTCAGTTGGTTAAGTGTCCGACTTCAGCTCAGGTCATGATCTCACAGTTCGTGGGTTCAATCCCACGTCAGGCTCTGGGCTGACAGCTAGCTCAGAGCCTGGAGTCTGCTTCGGATTCTGTGTCTCCCTCTCTCTCTGACCCTCCCCTGCTCACGCTGTCTCTCTCTCTCATAAATAAATAGAACATTAAAAAAATTTTTTTTTCTTGTTTAGAGGCACCTGAGTGGCTCAGTTAAGCACCTGACTCTTGATTTCGGCCCAGGTCATGATCTCACAGTTCATGAGTTCGAGCTCTACATCAGGCTCCACACTGACAATGAAGAGCCTGCTTGGGATTCTCTCTTTCTCCCTCTCTCTGTGCCCTACTCTGCTCTCTCTCTGCCTCTCTTTCTTTCAAAATAAATAAACGTTACAATTTTTTTCTTGTTTAGAGGGCAAATAATTGAAACACAGGGGTGAAAAAGAGAGGGCTATTATAAAGAAACAGGATGATGTCAAAAAAGCCAACTTGGGGGGATTATGCATTTCCAATGACTTTTACTTTTATTCTACTTCAGCCCCACATACCTATGACCAACCACATCTGGGACCTCGTCATGACCCAGAATTGTTCCAATTCTGCAAGCTTAAACTCCAACATTAACTTTCTGATCACAAACAGCTCTTTCACTCCCTAACTAATCCTGCACTAGTCCTATGAGCTTTATGCAGCCCAAGATCCTGCAATTGAAATATTTCCTCACTGTATTTCCTTGTTTCTATTCTTCAGGGGCACCCTTCAAGCAATAGCCTAACCTGGACTTAGTGACCATCCCGCTTCCCCACTGTTACATTCCATAGAACTCTATCCTACCCTTTGTTTTAGAGTGTTGAGAAAAATCTGTGGGAACAACTGAGACTGTTTGCCTCTTTACTTATAGGGCAATATATATCAAGTGCTGCAGGTAAGTGAAAATAACATAAAAAACTAAAGATACATACGCTAAATATGTGATTAGACCCCAATTTTGTCATTAGACCCCCTACTAGCAAAGTGTGTGTAAAACCTGCCCTGTAGCCAAAGTCCCATCAAGTGACAGCATAGTTGAAATAGCTGTACAAAATGATAACTTACAGGGTGGGAAATAAAAAGTGCTGCTTTCGGCTTTTTAAAAGACTTGTCCATTAAGAATTTCCATGACGCTTTTGAGTAAAGTGGACGTAGGCCTCTACCCTTCTCTTACAGAAGGAGAAGTTAAGCATTCCCTTACATGCTGACAGGATGACTATTATCCTAATTGAAGCGGCAGTAACAGACCACTGGTGCCATTACCTAATTTCTGCTATAAAGAAAGATTATGGATAACTTGTTTTCAGTTTTTGGTAAAGAGCCCTCTCTCTAACTTCTTGCTGATTTATATTTAAAAAATCCCATACAGGTATTCTTATTTAGCGGGGTACCTGGGTGGCTCAGTCGGTTAAGTATTTGACTTTGGCTCAGGTCATGATCTCACAGTTTTGTGGGTTCTAGCCCAGCATCGGATTCCATGCTGGCAGCATGGAGCCTGCTTGGAATTTTCTCCCCCTCTCTCTGCCCCGCTCTCACTCTCTCTCTCTCTCTCTCTCTCAAAAATAGACAAATATATTTTTTGTTAGTATTCTTATTTAGTTATTTGGGTGGGTATTACTTGTACCTAGTTTATGTTGGAGGGCATAATAGGAAGTCACATTGCCCAAACTATATGCTTTATTGAGACATTTTTATGAGGTGTGCACTTGGTTACCATTGCTTTAAAATTTTTCCAAGTTAAAATTCACAACATAGGATGGCATAGGGTTCTTAACACTCATTTGTCCACATATAAAAGTTGGCTTTAAAACACTTTCTTAAAACAATGTTATGCCTTCTGTGGGAATGAATACTCTAAGATCACTCGGAAAGTAAGTATACAGGCATAATCCTTTTTTTTTTTTTTTTTTTTTTTTTTTTTTAAA